ATTTCCAAATTTCGTCGTAGGTGGGATTTGAACCTTAGACCTGCCACTTGGAGGATGACAACCCAACCACTACACTAAGATCACCATCCTCAGAAGTATTGTTTTTTAAAGTATTTAAAATATGATTTATATATATAAAGATTTTTAAGTAAATAGGTTTAAATTGTAAATTATAAAAGAATTTTTGATGATCAATAGTTTGGTATTTGTTATATAGAAATAAATAAAGTCTGGCAAGATTTATAACAATTTAAAATTATTTTTTTAATTGAATAAGGAAAAATAAAGTAGTGTAAATTAAAAAGTTGGTTGTAGTTTATTTTATAAAAAAGAATATAGGTAAATTTGATAAGCCAGTTTTTTGTTGTACTAAGAAGTATATTGAAAGATATATTGTCTGCATCAGTGGTATATAAGTTTAGGTTTAAAATTATGTCTGTAATAAATTTAGGTTTTTTAGTTGTTATAGTTTGAACTAATAAACTGAAATTGCTTTTTATAAATAGTTTATTAATTGTTATAAAGTTAATAATTAAGTCAAAATAGAAGTCTTTGAGAATTGGTTTTAAGAAATCTAAGGTTTGAATTCCAAATATTGTAAGTGTAAATAAGAAAGAGTTTTCTAAACAGAATAGCTTTTGAACTAGTCTAAAGAATGGTTTTGTTAAGTTATAGTTGGTGGGTTCATTTTAGGATTATAATTAATAATAGTATTAAAAGAAGATTTAAAGTTGTAAATAGTTTAGAATAAAAATATAGAAAAGACTTTTAAGTAGTTTATAGTAAGAGTAGAGTGTTTTATAATATAAATAACAAAAAGAAACAGGTAAAAAGAATAGAATTAGATAAGAAAATTGAGTTTTTTGAAATTAACAATAAATTTTTTAGGTTTTTTTAAGGAAATTTAAAAAAATTTTAGTTATTTGGATATTTTCAAGTTTGGTAAAAAATGAAATTTCCAAATCAATCTAGTAAATTTTTTGAAATTAATCAATAGAATTTTAGAAAAGGTTTGAATAGAAGTTTGGAAAAAATATAGATAACTTAATGAGTTTTAATCTGTTAAAGATGAAATATATATTAAAATAATTGTTTTAAAAAGTTGAATATTTTTATTTACCTCATTGTTAATATTAAAAAAAGAATATTTTTATTTAATAAGAAAAATAAGTTTATTTAGTAAAATTTAATAGAAATTAAGAAGATGTGTTTTTTAGAAAATGTTAGTTTATATGTAATTTTATTTAAATGTTAAAGTTTTTTATATTAAAAAATTAAATATAAATAAATTTATATTGTTTTTAAGACAGAAAGTTGTAAAAAAAAGATTTAATTAGAAGTTTAAAGACTATTAGTTTAGTAAAATATTAAGAAAAGTTGAATTGTTTATTTGAAAAAAGTTGGTTTTAGTGATTTATAAGAAGAGTTAGATGATTTGTATTATTTTATTTTTCAATATTAATTTGTATTCTTTTATATAACTAGTTATATAGATGTTTTATAACCTGTCAGTCATGTTAGTATGATCATTATTACAGGTATCTTAACCTAATTATTAAAAACAGTTGCTACAAGATAAGTATTATATAAATGATTATCTAAATTTTGGCATCAATAGAATTTGAATACTTAATCTACTACTTAGAAGATTGACAACTTATCTACTTCACTAAGTTATCATATTTTCTAAAACTCAATTATATAATTGTTTTTTTATAAAATTTAATTACAAAAAAATATTTTATTTATATTATTTTTTATTATTACATTCTACTTTCAAATACTTTTAAATAATAATTAATATTGTTAGTTTATATCTTTTTTATACAACAAATACAAAACTATTAATTATATTAAATCTTCTAAAAATTTTAATCTTAAACCTATTTAAATACGTTTACATTTTAGTACAATATTTAATAACATCAATTTATTGTTTATTAAAATTAAAAATAATATTAAATATAATATTTATATTATATTTAATATTTTTATAAAAATTTTCTTAAAATCTTTTATATTCTTTTTTCAAAACATATCAAATACCATTTGACAAATAATTTTTAAAATTCTTTAACTTTTATAAAAAACAATTTTTATATATTAATAAACAAAAAGTTTACAATTTTATTAAATATTAAATAATTATTTTTTTACAACTGAACTTAAAAACTTCTTCTAAAATCATATTCATTTTTCATAGTTAACTTATTACAAAAAAAAAATAATAACTTTAAAATATAACAAACTATTATTAAATATTTACAAAAGTAGTTAAAAAATATTGAAATAAACTTTAAACTAAACTTTGTATAAATTTTTATATACAAAAATCCTAATAAAAATTATTAGCAAAAAACTACTAAAAATAAAAAAAAAAATAAAATAAATTTTAAATATTTAATAGTGATTGTAATTAATTATAAAATATTATAAATAAAATAAAATTTATATAACTATATAAAAGTTGTAAATAACTATTAAAATGTTATTTTATTTTATTTTTTATTTTTTTAAATATTATAATAAAACAAAGTTATTTTATTTAATCTTAGCTCAAAATATTTCTAATTATAAAATATATTATACTATTAACATGTTTTAAAAAATTTTAATTAATATTTAACATATATTAATAAACAATACAATATTTAAAATTTAGACCTTCTGCACTTCTATTAACAACTCTAATTTAGAACTATAATTCAAAAAAAATTATCCAAACATTTTAAAAATTGCATATAGGCTATTAATATAGTATATTCTAGAATTACTTCTAATTCAAATTGAAATAAATTTAAAATATGTTTATAAATTTGAAAAGACTAGAAAATCTAAAGCAATCTGAAGTCTAATTTAATAGAGTAGATTAAAGATTATATCAACCGATCTAACTCAACCATTAACAACCTTACCTTCGATATTCGACGCCCAATAATAAAGCAGTGTCTATTATATTTTTGATAACGTTGTTTATCTCTAAGAATTTACTTTATTTTTTTTTGTAAAATTAATTATATAATGACTTGTGGTTGGTTATAATTTAGAGTTAGGCTTACGAGCTAATGTTAGAGATTGAGCAGAAAATGGAAATGTTATGTGGTCTTGCCTAAGCTGGTCTAATGAACTACAGTTAAAAATGAAGTTTTGTCATATTTGAATTAGAAATTTACGCGTAGTAGTAAAATTTTGGGGATACGCTTTTTTTAGAGTTTGATTAGGATTTAGTAATAAAAAGTTTAAATTTCACTTTAACCTGATCTTATTATGATCTGCAACAATTATTAAATATTTTTGTTAGCTGCCTGATATGGTACTGTGGCTCAATTTAGTTATATTGATATATATTTATTGTTATTGCTATTGTTGACTCGCGGTAGGTTGATAATTACGCCCGTCGCTAGAAAGTTAACCCTTATTATTCAAACAACAGACGGTGATAAAACCAATTAGTAAAGACCAAATCCAGTAATTGATACAGAATTATCAGTAGCCAAATATGGAACCCTATAAACCCTACATTTAAAGGCAATAACTATAGTAAAAACGATGGAGTAATACGTACTATAACGTTTGAATGTCAGATTCTGCAATAACATTACTAATGAAAAATACCAATATTTCACGATCAATTTAGCAGAGATTAATGACTTTGCTAATATTAAAAATGGCATTCCAATATTATATAAAACTAGTTCAACATGTGACCTAGTGTGTCATGATTCTGATTTGTCAATGTTGACTGACGAGCATGAAATGGCTTAAATGAGAATCTACTTGAACACTCACATTTGATGAAGTCAATAATCAAACTGCAATTTTTTTTTGAACTTTGAGATACCTTTGCTCAAAGTTTAGAAAAATTACATTTTCGTCCAATCGAAAGTTGCAAATTTTTAGGGTTACAGGAGAGACCATTGATGTTACACGACTGATCCTTCACAGCATATAAAAAAATTATTTTACAATACCAGATCATTTCGCTAGTACATGTTATGATTATAATCCAACATCATTTTATTATAATCATAACATGTACTAACGGAATGATCTGATATTGTAAATAATTTTTTATATGTAGTTTACTACAATGGATTTAATAAATTATACGATATCAAGTCTTATTGTTTATTTTCTATATAGTCACGTGATAAAATATCATCACGTGATAACATAGTATCGTCGATTGTAATTATTGTATAAATAACGAATACAGAAACTATCAGAGAGCAATAGGATTTATGGATAATTGAATATTTTATCACTAGATTTATAGCATTTTTAAATTTTATTAAATTCACTTTTAATTCAAAATAATAATACCAAATTCTTAACGCAACAATTGTTTCAATGTCAGTCAGCTCAAAGTAGAAGCAAAGTTTGCAAATTCCACCAATAACTTCGTAGAATCTACTATAATGAGCTGAAAACAACAACTGTTATGCTAAGACCTCTAATACATAATAAAGAGAAATTTGTAATAAAAATCATTTACATGTAATTATCCAATAAATAATGCTTAATGAATGCTACAGTAGCCCTTTTTTATTTAATCTTAGTTAAATAGATATTAATATAATATCTATAGATCTATAGATTTTTCATATATATATTATAAATGTTCATATTATGTATTCCGGAATGTATATAGTCTATGTCGCGCGACAATTATGAAATTTCGGGGTAAAGATCACAAAGTAAATTTTTCACTTCTACACTGTCAAGTCTAGATGTATCGTATGTAACTTCATCTGGTCCAGATAGATCGAAAGTAAAATCATCAGGTAAAAAATCATCTTCGGGTGATATATGAGGAGATGAATCGATTGTTTCACGAGAAATTTGTTCGTTGTCTGATGATTTATATGATTCAACGTCGAAAATAAAAATTTTAAGGCAGGAGTTATTATACCGATCGGTTGCCTTTGCCGATACGTTTTTAAAGTATTGCCACAGATGGGGCTCAAATTCCTTGATATATTGCCATACATTTGTAGCATGTTTAGAAATCTGTGCCCTTTCGATTTTAAGGCACATCTCCGTGATACTCATTTGAAAGCTTTTTCTGAAGAGGATAAAGCTTTTTGGAGGCGATCTTTTTCCATTGCTTATTCCCAAAGCGTCATCTACATCCGGAGTGCGCAAAATGGATTTTTTGTCGTGGCACTCGATGTAGTAGTAACCGAGGTCGCATTTAACAAGATTTACTGTATCTTCAAGAATTGAAGAGGTCAAAAGAGTGAAATTTTGTGAAAAAGACATTATTCGGAAAAAGAGAAAATTTCAGGGTAAGACGATTTTAGGATTAGGATAGAAGGAAAAAATATTTCATTAAAACTAAAGTGGCTAGGTAAGAAGAAGGGAAACAGAAATAACATCCTTATATAAAAAATTATTGCGATGCAAATCATTCGTTAATGAACGTTTTCTATTGAAATTTCCATAAGGTTTAATAAATGTACTTACTACACTAGGCTATTATGGTTACACGGAAAAACATGAATCAATGCAAAAAGTTAATAATGAAAGATAATGTTCAGCGACAAGATACAGCCACAAACATACGAATACTAAAGATAACACTTCAAAAGGAATGGAAAAACCTAGACGCATTAATCTTTATAAATTTAATAAATAAAATGCAAATCGTATTATTAAAGTCATTGCTCATGAAGATTATGCCGGTAAATACTGATGATAATATATATATTATAATAATTAATTTGCGCAATACTGATATATTCATTAATATATGTATTCCATGTAACCGGGATATACTTTATTAATAAACGCGTTATGAGTTTAATCAATATGGCGTAGGTAGATTGAACTTCCCTAAAGTCGACATTGTAATTAATTGAAGCCACAGTTATTTGAAATAAAAATGAAACAAAGGAATAAGGGAACAATTTGTGGCGACTAATTATGGCGTGATCAAAAATGGACAGCTATAGACAGAACATTTGCTTCTACATAAAGGTAAAAAAATAAACTGCCATGCATTAGTTTAGACTCAGAATTTAACGGTTAGCTTTTTCTCTGGGGTTTCCAAATCAAGATTGATTATCTATTCCAACATACCCGATGCTGATACAAAATTTTACGCGTTGGATCAAATCATTTCTATATTAAGAAGACCATATGATATATATTCGTATCACTAAGTAACAGTAGGGTGACGTTTAAATATAGCGTAACATTGGTTTCTCTAGACTTGGAAGTTGAATGACTTCATTATATGTTTGAATTTGTTCCAATTTTTTTATGTTTGGGATTTGGTGAAATTTTTCATCTGTCGTTAAGTAATAACTGCTTTGTGACAAATAGATATTATACACCACTCCCCACTGTTTGACAACCGCGATACATAATTGTTTTGATTCGTTGAATTTGTTTCATGAATTCCCCACTGTACAACTGTCTCTCTTTATTAAATTGCCTTTTTTTTACAATAACTTGATCACTTGAAATAACCGCATCATCTCTGAATTATATTAATACAATATCAATGTCTTATTTATCGGCTTCGGCCTTAAGAATATTTATTTACGCCTTATTCTTGTTTGTAATCGCCACTTGATCTAAACTTTGTTCGCATGCATAAATATATCAGGATTCAATGTTAAAATGCAAACAAATAAAGTTTTAAGATTAAAAATGGAAATAAACTGCGAATTCCGCCATTGTGTTTGTTGCCTCTCTTTCATTAATACCGAATTGGTTGATACTAATTTGGTTATACTTACAAAGATTGTGGTACAAAAATACGCCTAAAGAAAAAACCTTCAGCATTCCTGGATAATTCCGGATAATATGATATAGAGACTTGATTTTATGCACAGACTATATAGTAAAGAGGCTTAGGATTTCATGTTCAATTTCAGAAGATATGAACACGAACTCGTTACATAGGATAATCATTAGCAAGCAAATACGTATATACATAAAAGGATTTGATCAAAGACAATAATCATGTGAACAGATTTGGTTTTCCGTAATCGTAATGTATATCTCATGTCATTGTTTTGTATCACTGTTGCCATTATCTTTTATGTTAATATAATATTAAGTGATACAGAATGTTCTCTCCAAGTGTTGTAAGCTGGGACTATCGCTATGAAAAAATTAGATCATTTATAATTTGAATTTGTATCTTGTATGACTTTAGGATTTTCCGATCTATACTGCAGAATCTTCATTAATTCTTTATTTCGACTTGCTATAATTTCGGTTTTTTTTTTAAAAAAAAATTTTGAGTTGAAGCGTGAGTAGTGTTCCAAGTTGGCCAATCAACTAGTTGGCAATTAATCAACTTTTATATCATGTGACTAAATTTGTTAACTAGCCAATCAAATCAAAGAAATTTGCATGAGTTAACCCGAACAGACAGAATATCTCATGATTGAACTATTTAATGATTCAGTTGTTTAGTTGTTTAATTTTCCAAATCAACTAGTTGGAAAGTTGTCAACTAGTTGATTTTTCAGCTAAAGGTTTGGATCACTAAACTCTGGACCTTTCGTGAATTATTTAGTATTTTTGCATATTCATCTACTTTATTAAAAAAGAAGTAGCTTTTGTAATTGAACCGTTTAGTCAGAGTGAATATTTTCACTGGCCCCGAAGCTTACTCTCGATTAGTATATCCTTCTATTATTTCTATAATTTTATGAATACTAAAATATTGCCCTTACTATTCGTATTAACCTTTTTTGTCTATTATACGTAGTAAGTTGTAATAATGGTTTTATTTTTTTAGTTAGAATTCTAATTTTAAAAATTATTATTATACAATTTTTTTATCTTAGATTATTTGTTTTTTATATTTGATTTTTATAATTAATATATATATTATATAAAAATAGTAAAATTTTATCAAAACCTAAATCATGTATTTTTTGGAATTTTAAATATCAGACAATTAAATAAAATATTTAATTTATTTGTGACTTAAACTTACTAAAATGATCAAAAACTTAACTAAATAATATTATTTATAATTAAAATAAGGTTAAAAGTTATTGTATACTTGATTTACAAAATGGTTCATATATTAATTTTACTGAAAATCTGACCAACCAGTAGACAGGCTTCAAAGTAGAAATAAAATTGGTTTAAAAGTATATAAAATTATAATAAGTATGTTTATATATCAATTGTTATTACTTTTTTTAATTAAAAAATTTATATATATAATAGAGTTTTTATAATTGTTTATAGATTTGTTTGTTGATTTTAAGCAAAATATTAACAGTAATTGTTGAAAAAATAGTTTATATAAAACATTTAGATTCTAATAGTTTTAGTTAAGAATAAGAGAATATAACCTTTGAGATTAAGTTCTAAGTAATATAAGAAACTTTGAATAGATGTTTTGTTAAAAACTAGATAGTTATTAATTTTTTAAATAAGTTTATTAAGTTGGTTGTTAAAAAGATTTAGGTTGTCTAACTTATACAGTTAATTATTGCATTGAAAATAATACTGTTTAGTAAAAAAGAATTAGTACAAATACATTAATATAAAAGTAAGTTAGTAGAATTATAATAAAAACAATTAGTATTATAAAATATTTAAAAATATATTTTATAATAAAGTATTAGATAAGTAGTTTATTAAGTAGTATTTTAGTTTTAAATAATTTAAATTAATTAAGTTTAAAATTAATAAGATTAAAAGTAAAATTTTAATTATAGTTAAAATATAACTAAGTTGATTTTTAGTTAATATAATAAGCTAGTAAAGTTTATTCATTATTATGTTTTGTAATAACTATAATATAAGATTATAAATTTTATAAATATTTTTAACAAAATATCTAGTAGAAAATTTAATAAAGAATTTTTTTATTTCAAAAAATAATAAGTAATATAAGTTAAAATATAATAAAGACTCATTTATATATTGTATTATCTAAATGAACTTAAACTTTATAAAAAGTTATATGAAATTTATATAATTTAATAATATTTAATAAAATATATCATAATGATCAAAAGTTAATTTAAAAAATTTGTTAAAGATAAAAGATAACTAGTTAAATAAAATTAAATTTTAGAAATTAGAAATTAGTATAAATATTGTTATAAATAAAAGCTTTCTTTATTTCATACTATAATAATAACATTATGCAAAAAATTTTTTATAAGTATATACAATGTTCAAAAAAAAAGTACAGCTTTTATTAGATATTGTTAAAAAACTATACTCTTTTTTAAGACAGTTCAAAAAAGATAATATAGTAATAATTACTTTTACTTAATTATTAAGAAAAAAATAAACTTTGTCTGTAAAAATTACTCTAAAAGAAAAGTATCAAGACAGTTTATAATTAAGAGTTATTTATTAATATAATTATATAAAAAGCTATTCTTAACTTTTTGTTTTTAAAAAATCTTAAATATTTGTTTATAAGATTAGAAAAAAAAATATGTTTGTTGCTAAATCTAACTTAAAAAATTTAGCAAAGTTTATATATTTATAAACTAAGTAGCTAAATAATTAAGCAACTGGATAACTAAATAACTAAATAATTAGTATTCTAATTAACTAAATAACTAAGCAACTAAGTGACTAAATAACCCACAACAACAATCACAAATCCAACAAATACAACAACTACAATAACAACAACCTGTACATCAAGCTCTACCACCTTCACACAAACAATAGTCTAACAAAAAACCACTTCAACAACCTCAACTGGCTCAATCTTATAGCCATGTAACAAGACCCAAACTCAACCCATCATATGACTTTTTAGCAAACTTTCCAGTTACCGATGAAATGCAAAATCATACAAAATTACAAACAGAAATGTCCCGAAAACTCTTTAACTTTCTCAAAGAACATCTTCATAACTTTTATTCTGGCAAAGTCATTAAAGAAGCAGTTGGAAAACGAGATCCACTTAAAGCAAGCTTTTATCT